TTTGGCCTCCATTGGGCTAGAGAACACTGAGGCTAACCGCCAGGCATACCGTACCTTGCTCGTATCAGCTCCTGGGCTCGGTCAGTACATCTCTGGTGCCATTCTCTTTGAGGAAACCCTCTACCAATCCACTGTTGACGGCAAGAAGATAATTGATGTTCTTGCTGCGCAAAACATCGTTCCCGGTATCAAGGTTGACAAGGTAAGTTGTTTAGAATAATGAAATACCTTTTCCTTTTAAGGATGAAGCCTTTTTTGGTACATGACAGGGCAGATGTTTCCGTTTGAGAATTTCTGTTAACTTGTCGCACTCTTAGCCACGCTGCCCACCGAGTGGCTTTAAGCTGCTCCCTTTAATTGACTGATTTAAGCCTTTGAAATATATGAATATACCTTTCCTTCATTACTTCAAGTAGCTTCGTGCGATTTCACATTTTATTGTGCCTTAACCAATATTTCGGCAACATTTACCAGGAATTTTCTTCATTTCTTATCAATATGATATGTGTATGGGCGTTTTAGTTTAATTTTAATACAGTTTGATATATGTTAGGCATCCTCCCAGATAAGAGTATTTTGTATAACGGATCTGAAGCTATTTCATGCTCCATAAACAGAAGTTATATGCTAGATTTATTGAAAATAACACGTAGTTATGTGCGTTTTAACTTGAGCATATTATTGGTCGATGAGTGAAAAAAATCTCAAAGACTCAAAATGTTTGCAAGCAGGAATCTCATGCAATAAAATGATTATATCCGATCTATTGTTCACTCCTTAGGTACAAACCTGCATGTAGAAACATATACAGCCTCTTTAGCTTGTTTCAACGCAAAATCTCTGGGATGTTTAACGTAAACATATTAATAAATTGTATATCAATGAGAACAATAGGGTTTGGTTCCCTTGGCTGGTTCCAACGACGAATCATGGTGCCAAGGTCTGGATGGTCTTGCCTCTCGCTCAGCTGCATACTACCAGCAAGGTGCCCGTTTCGCCAAATGGTTAGAGCCTCTGCCTGAATCCTAATGTTTAGCAGAAGAATTTGAATGTCATTCTCATTTTTGCTTCACTTCAACCAAACATAACTGCTATTCAATCAATATTTCAGGCGTACCGTCGTTAGCATCCCCAACGGTCCCTCTGCTCTGGCTGTAAAGGAAGCAGCCTGGGGTCTGGCTCGCTATGCTGCCATTTCTCAGGTGAGAAAACCATTCAAATTATTTAAGAAACAACCAACAATTGAAACAGGTGGTTGTACGTGGAAGTGGATTCTTCATGTTTGGTTTTCTGCTTATGTCCTTTTTCCTTTTAAAGGGGTAGACTATCTTGGACTTGTAAAGAGATCGGTCTACTTGAAGTCATTATAATTTCTTGCTCTTTTTAAATTTAAGAGATTTCTATCCTGCTATTCAATGACTCTTCTTTCTTGATGATGTTTTTCCGGCTACCAAAAGATACTTATCAGGTACTTGTATTATATCATTCCTGATAAGAACTCATTGAATTGTTCAGGACAATGGTTTGGTCCCAATTGTGGAGCCTGAGATCTTGCTTGATGGTGAGCATGGCATTGAAAGGACTTTCGAAGTTGCTCAGAAGGTTTGGGCCGAGGTTTTCTTCTACCTTGCTGAGAACAATGTCATGTTTGAGGGTATTCTACTCAAGCCTAGCATGGTTACCCCTGGAGCTGAGAGCAAAGAGAAGGCCACTCCTGAGCAAGTTGCTGCATACACCCTCAAGCTCCTTCACAGGAGAATTCCCCCTGCTGTGCCTGGAATTATGGTAAGCACCGAATACATACCCGAGTAAATTCATATTTATGGGTTTTAAATACAAATGGTGTACACTGAGTTGTTTTGTGATCATGTACTAATGAAAGCTGTTTGGTGGCCATGCAGTTTTTGTCTGGAGGGCAATCTGAGGTTGAAGCAACCTTGAACTTGAATGCAATGAACCAATCTCCAAACCCATGGCACGTGTCATTCTCATATGCAAGAGCCCTCCAAAACACATGCTTGAAGACATGGGGAGGCCGCCCAGAGAATGTGAAGGCAGCCCAAGAGACTCTCCTTATCCGTGCCAAGGCAAACTCACTTGCTCAGCTTGGCAAGTACACTGGTGAAGGTGAATCTGAGGAGGCCAAGAAGGGAATGTTCGTCAAGGGATACGTCTACTAAGCTGCTTTTGTAATTGAATGGTATGGATGATAATTTCCAAGAATAGATGAAGATGGCGATGGAGGATCAAAGGCTAATTTGTTTAAAATGTGTGTAATGCACTTGGAGACTATTTTTGTTCTTCATCACATGTACCTCTAAAAACTTTGTTGTTAATGAGTTAGGAATCCAGTACTTGGATGGGCATCATCTTAATACTAAAACTTGCTTCAGTTCCCAGTTTCCGCATTCAGTGCCTAAGCCATTATTTATATGCACTTGTGGGGAATAGGGATGGTGGTGGCCCCAGTATTCAAGGTTTCATCTGCTCTGGTGAAGACCAATCAGACAAACAAGGATGTGACTATTTTTATTGTAAGACTACAGCTTGGAATCTCGTAAATCTATAACTGGAACAAAGGGATAAATGAGATATCTCACAAACCACAGATGTTACTGAAAACACAGTAAAATGCAAAGGATCTAATCTTGTTCAGTGAACGATTTCAACTTGAACAAAGCGTTGAACTAAATTCGTTAGGTTTAGTAATTTTGTGGGTGTGCATAGTTAATTAACGAGAATATTCACTCTCAAGCAATTAATCATGCTGCAATATTTAGTTTAAAACAGATAGGGTCCTATTTTTATGCGTGTTGGTGGTCAATGGTTCATATCACGATCTGACTATAATAGGAAAATAGTAGGAGATAGTAATAATTAATAATATACATTAATATTATTACACTGTGAGTGTTATATGTGTGTATTATAACACTTAGATTAGCCCTAACAGTCAAAGGCATCTGTGACAGCTCTCTCACTACCATTTTCTATTCATGATAACACTAAGGAATAATGTAACTTAAAAATCCCTGGCAAAAAAAGATGCAACTTAAAAATCCACTCCTCTCAATTTTATGTAATCAGTCAAACATCTATAAGATATTTATCAAGTGCGCATGCTATTATTAAATGTGTTCATAATGAGTAGATAATTTAGGTAAACATAAAGATGTTACCCAACTATATCCTCGAAATCCTACAAATACCGACCATGCGTTTTTCCTAAACGATTGTTTCTTACATAGAAAACGATCATTATCCTAGATTTTAGCTTATGTGGCTCAAGAGTGTGTCCTTACTCCAAATCAAGTATCAATCTCGTGCCATTGTTTCTCAGATGCTCCCTCCGATTTTTATTATAAACTCCAAATAATTAATCCACAGTGATAAAAGAGGTAGGGTTGCAGAGACAGCCTATTCTTTCTTATCAGAGCTTGAAGTCTAAGACGGATTCCAATCTACAAAAAAGAGTTGTCTACTGTACAAGAAAAAAGGAAAGGGTGGCAGAACGCTTCAACTTGGCCACTAAAAAAGGCGGATAAAGAACAATTAGTTAAAAACAATAAATAGGTTACAAATATACTTTTTCAAATATGTCCTTATAAAAAATAAGAAAAAAGAATAAAAGAGAATATATAGAGCAATACGATAAAAGAGAAATAACTAAGACCAACATTCAAAAAAAAATGAATGAAATGCTAAAACAAACTGAAATTAAAACTTACAAAATAGATCACACACATACTCAAATTTAAAACTTATAAATAGGACTGAGTGGGAGTATAACTCACTTTCGAGTAATTTCAGCTTCTCTAGCTCACCCACCAGCCAAAACAATGAGAAAGGTTTGTAACTTTCAACAAGAAGAAAATTTATGACATAATAAATGTCAGCCTTCTGTTGTTTAAGCAGGATTTGGGTTTAGTCCTGGACAATATCATCCTTCTTATTTTATCAGCAAGTGTTTAGAAACATCTTGCGACGGCCATTCTTTTGGAAGGAAACAAATACGGAAGAGTATAAAAGAGGGATGGGAAAAATTACAATTACGAAGAGATGGGACAAGTTTGAGACGTTGCTAAGAACTTATCCTTTTTGTCTGGACAAACTTGCCATGAAGAGAGGAAATATTCGGTAGGATCAATGTGCGTAGGAACAAAATGAATCAGAGAAGGAAGAGATAGTCATAGAAGTCCATTAGTTTTAGTTGTCTTCGTTTTTGCTTGTTTTATCTGTTTAGTCGTCATTTTCTTTCCAAGTAACAAGTTTGGTCATCATATTAGACATTCAATAAAGTGGAGTCTATTACAAATCAATTCCATTCCATCGGTTTTCCACTCCTTTCAGAGGATATTCTTATAGTAATGTTCTGAAAAAATTAAGCCAGTTTGTTCACGTCTCACTTCTTTTTAATCATAACTGCAGTGCATTTAATTTAGGGATAGATATTATAGATTATTCCTTTCGTTACATTCTAAGTCCATTCCTCTTTCACCCATTCGTTGGACCTCCCGAGGTAGAATGGGAGGGACATCAGAATTTCTTTTTCTTTTCTTTTTTTTTGAAAAATCTTATGTACAGAGAACTTACCATATAGAAATAACAACATAAATTAATGAGAAACCACAAAAAATTATTGTTACATTATTTCACGCGAAGCCAAGAACAAGGACTCAAATTCCCAAAACGCGTTGTCGTGAGAAGGGAGTCGCCCCACGCCGGGATTGGTTCGAGGGAGGCCATTTCTCATTCCTAGGAACCCTAAAAAAAATAGCATCCCACGCATTTACCTATATTCAAGGCATTATTAAGAAATTATACCTTTATATCATAGTACATTAATTTTTTTTTTCCATACAATCATTCATTAATAATTTTATCATTTCTATTTTTTATAATTCTTCTCGAAAAAGGAAACTACAGGTCTATTGCGGGTGGGGATTCTTAATTACTCGATGATTGGGGAGGGGGGGGTTGCAATCGCTTTACTTGTCAGGTATTCAGGAGATGACAAATAGCATTCACTTCATGAGAGTTTAACGGCACAAACCCGTCTATTGTCTTGAGAGATCGTTTTGTTACAACTCTAAAATTTCTCTTCATTTAGTAAAATTCTCACGGGGATTAATTTAACTGAATAAATGGTGGAGATAAATGGATATGGAAGGTTGTGAATTCTTAATCTCGTCAATATGCAGGATGTGCAAATCAGCAGCCCAAGAATACCTACAAAGCAAAGTGAAAGAAAAATTAGAGTTAACATATGATAAGAAAGTGGTGAATACAACAAAGTGAAACATACATGTGACAGATAAATATTCGTATGTGACAGAGGAAAAGAAAAAACATGAAAAATTTTAATCTTAACCCAGTACTGCCTTTATCTACCAGCTAAAAGCCACTAACTGTATTTCAGACCCTTGCTTGGTTTATTGAGAGAGAATAACACCTCACTTTCTTTTTTTCAAAAATAAAAAATGGAGGAAGTTCAAGCATAGGTTGGAATAATATAAAGAAAACATTCTCTTTATTTAAATATTCATTAGACTCTTCAATTCCTACATCATTCTGCTCTCTTGTCATCCTCAGTTTTCTTTTTACAGCATTTATCTTTCCATTAAAGAAATGTCATTCATAATACATTCATATCCTGGAGTGGCAGTGGTGTGTGCATCGCTCACATATTATTTGCACAATACCGACCTCATACCCCAAACAAATGTCAATACATCATTTAATTCGGTAGCCTTCTACCCCATTCCAATGTAAATAGAATAACTTGGAACTGATGCAAGTACTTAAGTGAGAAGATATTACCTACATCAAAGAATAATAAGAATAATTATATATAAGAAAAATTGTCTTGATAAATTTACTATAGATTCAACATTTTTCAACTGCAATCAGTTTAGAAGCAAAACCAAAATGTTAAAAAGATTTCAGGTTAAAATTAACAATTGGATATGTGTTGACCTGTGATAACATGACTAAAGACTGAATCGCAATCTTTTAGATGGACTTGACTCAAAATTTTCCGCATTGACTTTGAGCACAAATGGTCTAAAATTCAAAGAAAACAAATAATTTTCGCATAAATCAAAATGTAAGCTGTGTAAATGAATTCAGAGAAACAAAAGCATGTTTTATATGATGTACCTTTATTTCTCCTCAGCCCTACGTTTGAAGGATTCTACTGGTACCACAGATTCATTGTTATTGCCACTAGAAATATCCATGGCCGATTCCTGTTCAGGTTCCTAAAATAAAAACAGAATTTATTATACTTCGACAAACCAAGTGCCAGTACTTGTTACACAACCTAAGAAAACCAAGTAATATAAGGGATGGAAAATACAACATAGCACCAAATCAAAGAACTAAAATTCACATGAGCATTGGAAAATAATTACCTGATTGTTTGATGTTGGTCCATTTAACCGCTGTGGTCTAGTATTAAGATCAATTAGTTTTTTATCCATCTTTCCATGATCATCAACATTATTTTCTAGAATTGGAGTAGGTGAGATTCTATGGTTCTGCTGGCCTTCTCTTGTTATAAGAAGGGGATGACTTGGGTCCTTCTTTAGTCCATTTTGATCAAGGGGTTGCAGCCCTAGTTCTTCCAATCGACCAGGTTTGTACCCTGGAAACTGAAGAGAAATGCCCAAAGAACATTAAACAAACTTCAGAAAATCTACTTATGAGCTAGAAAGTCAGAAGCTTCCTTGTGGTGTGACACAGACCTCAGCTCTTTGCCTCAACAGAAGATATCTTTCATGGGTTCTTTTACCACCAACATGTACTATCATGTCACATTGCAGACACAGCGAACTACCATCTATCTCACAGTAAAAGAAAGCTACATGCAAATTTCAAACAGTATGGTGAAAAATTTAAACTCTTTTACGTTACATCAGAGCCAACAATCCTGCAAATTTTTTTTCTTTCAAGAAAAAGGCTTTCCATACCAGGTGCATTTTCACATATATCACAGCGGGAAACATCACTGGGATCAGCCAACCCAACTCGAACATGTTTGCTAGCAAGCTTGTTGCATGTATGGACCTGAAACTCAAATGTGAATCACAAAAGATGACATCAGAGAAAAACTATACCATTTAGTACTTTCATATAATTTGGTATGAATGGTGATGCCAAAGAGAACTTCAGAATAAGCAAAAGCAAGTGGGCCTCTCGTAACTACAACAGCATCCTGTCCAAAATACGAAATTCACATGCAGGATTTGCTTTTTAACATGATAAAGTCCAGTGAAGATTGAAAAAAGTACGCTCAAACGGCCGGTTCAGACTTTAATTAATTATCACTAGGCACATAGTATTGTACTAGATTCAAGAGAGTCGAGACTCCAACACCATGAATATGCCATCTATTTCAATCAAGCGAATGAATCTCTAAATTTAGACTCCACAAACTGAGGGGCATTTGACATAATTGTTCAGAAGCATGCCCCTAATGTATGAGAGAGATAGAGCAGGGGAAAAACAAAAAAGGTGGAAACTTTCGATTGGTAATCCTAGGATCAATGTAAAAGGAAAACGTTACCAACAACACATTGAAAGCCAGCGATTGCAACAACAGTTCGCAGCATATAAAAGGAAAGTCAATGCAGACAATATTAACTAGTGGATCCGAGAGAAGAATGAGTAAAATTTTAAAAATTTACGAGAGAATCAGAGAGAGTAGCTGCTTCGATTCTGTTAAAATGACAATTAACGATGAAACCAATCTAGGTAGCCTTATATATGTTGCTTTGTATATCAAAATTTCAGCGATATCCAAGAACAAGTTCAAAGTGCAAACGAGTATTTAATAGCTTCGTGCCGCAGTTACTCCTAGAAACACAACTTTAAAGCAACTTCATCTCCTTTAAGGAATTGCTCTTTCTGAACATGAAAATTCGACCAAGTATAACAGAGCATCAAATCAACAAACAAATGCAACGATGGAAAAACATCAATTAGATTCAGTAATCGAAGCCAAAATGTTACAAAGCAAAAATCGATAGCAGAACCTTTTCGTCACATGCACGGCATAAAGCAGCTTCGTCTGCGGCACAGAAGATGATCGCTGCAGCGCTCTCACAAACATCACAGAGTGTTCGCATTATCGCTTCCACTGCTATCAACTTTGAGCTTTTCCAACTTTCAACTGCCTTCCGTCGACATCTCTTCTTCAATGTGTCAATTTTTATCGGTTCTCCTTCACTCTTAGTATTTTTTTCTTTTTACAGATAAAACGTTCAGGATATCGAGAATTTAGCGAGTTTTATCAAGAATCGTGGATAGAGGAAGAGAAGAAAGGGCGCGAATTGCGAGAACAAGAAGAGGAAGAAAAGGATACGACCCCGTGAAGAAACTGTGGAAAGTAGGAGCCTTGGTGGTGGTCGCAGCACCCCTATTCGCTGCTCTGTATAATATTATCGACCACTCGCTTGGAGCTCCAACACAACATCAGGGCAAAAGCGTAAATTGCATGCCTTTATCCAATAAGTTATACCGATATCAAAATTAATTAAGCCATTTTTCTAATTCTTAATAATTTTATTATTTTTAGTATTCGTTTTTATCATTTTTAACATTTAGAATCAAATATTTATAATTTAAATTTTAGACAAATGATGCTAGTTTAATTAAATTTGTAAAAATGCGTTGGATGGAGGAATGAGTGGAGATTTATTAGGTTAATACCTTCTTAGTTAAGTCCAAAAAAAAATAATTTAATCTTTCTTACTATATGTTTATCTATTTCTGTATATTGAGATTTTTAAGACTTGTTTTTACCGGAAAAAAGACATTAAGATGACTTTTTTTTTTTTTTAAACCTCAAACATTAAGATGACTTCACACATTAGTTCACTTCTTTTGCCAACCCACCATTCTTTGACATTTAAATCTTATCAAAATATGTAAGAAAATTTTTAAAAAATAATGTTGTATATAATCTCAAAATATTAGAGAACGTTAAACATTTCGCATAGAGCCCAAAGTGAACCTATTCATTGACTCTATAAACTTGATATTTCATATTGAGATGTACTAATTTATGAAAAGTAAAACAAAATACAATCGTTAAATTTATTTGTCATGGAGAGTAAATTCGACTTTATCTAATTATCTTGTGTCGTGACTTGGATAAATATTTTGAAAGTTAAATAATGAATTTATAATAATGTTCATACATCTAGCAAAATTTATAATAACAAGGTTTTTTTAACAAAAAAAAGGTCAAACTCATCTCATGTGTGCTAGCTCCAACCCTTGATATAAAAATTGGTTGAAAGTTGACTTTGATATTATGTCTCTTAAAATTTGGTATCCCTATTAATTATATATATTAAGAAGGTAATTCAAATACAAATGATTAAAAAACTTAATTTAGATAATACATATTTGTTACAAATAATAAAATTAATTAATTTTTTTAATACCTGTAAATTAGCCATCTAAATTTTATATTAAGAATTAAAATAGTATCTCAGGGATGATTTGGTTCTCTACCATAGAGAACTTGTTCATGTCTTTGGTAATCCTTTTTTTTTTTTTTAATATCCACGACCATAGACATATATGTTAGTGATGGATAACATAGGATCCGAATCCCACAGAGGGACAATCATATTATGAAACACTAATTAATCCATGAATGAAAGGGGTAAAAGAAGTTGGAGGAAGAAAATAACGTGGTAATTAGTGTGCAGTGTTGGAGGGGAAAGGAGGGCACGTGAGGAATGCTGGAAAGTAGGCAAATATCAAAGCCAAAGGTCTCACATGAAGATGGAAGGTCACTTGCACAAAAGAGACGAAGTGATGAAGAATATAAAAGAAAAGGGGCATGCATGTGCAAAGGTAGGCAAACAGAGAGTTTGGTATTAGGGATGAAGCATAATGGGAAAGCAGATTTGATGAAGTAAAAGCAGGGAGGTTTTGGGGTCCCATCAGATTCCCAGCCATAAGCTGCTGACTGGTGTTTTGATGGCTACTCTTCTCCCATTCGCACCCACACGTTCACCTATCTTGATTTACATGGGTGTCGTCTATCTCAGGTTGTTGGCTTCTATGGTGCATAGGTGTCTTGCAAATCCATTAATCATGAAAGTACTTGCAATAATATCCTTTTACTGCCTCTAATTCTTAATATAAAAGCTAGTAATTCTACTCGAGACATTTGATTAGTAAAAATATTTTAGGAAAGACAGCTTTTATCTATTACAAATAACTAACTTAACTAGTTTTTCTAATCTACTCAAATTAGTCAACTAACTCTTATATTAAGAATCAGAAGTACTACCTCCGGTCCTTAATATAAGATCCTATTTGACTTTTATTTTGGTCCTAAATATAAGACCCCAATCCACTTTGTCTCTCATATTTATACATTTTCTTCTCAAAGTAGTCCTTCTAACAATGATAGTTCTAGTCAATACACTTGATTAGTAAAGATATTTTAAGAAAGACAACACCTATTTAGGAGAAATAACTAACTCAATTTACTTCTTTAATTTCCTCAAATTAGTCAACTAGTTCTTATAATTAGGACCGGAGGTAGTAGTATTTAAATTTTTTTTTAATGACAAATTGATAAGTAATGTTGAACTCGGAATATTGTTGACTAAATTTTAGATTTTAAATTTGTTGGAAAGAGGCTAAGCTAATAGAGGTGGGACTATTACGAAGGTAAGAAAAAAATATGGGTCAAGGTTTGTGACATGCTCACTTTATTTAAATCAACCGGAACAATTGTACCATGTCTGAGAATTTTAAGGAATAAGGAGAACGGAGGATCTGCATGCATATATAAATATGTGTGTGCGTAACTTACAGAGTTCAATGACTCTCGTCTCTCCCTGTAATCACATCCTTATCGGTGAATTTGTCGGGTAAAATTAATGGAATCCAGACATGGATTTTATTGGGCATGGATTCCAAAATACTTCATCAGATTTTTTGAGTCCGCCTCAAATCCTTTAAAATTAAATTAAATTATAAAGTAAAACTGAAACTTTCCAAAATGAGAACTTGTTAACCAAATTATTCATTTAATATGAAACATAAAGAAAGGAGTACCACTACAATATTATGATTTATTAATCGTGGGATTTTGTAGACACGCGCATGATGGTTTAGCTTTCGCGAGGTAAACAGAAGAATTAAATGAAAATAAAGAAAGAAGGGACTTTGCTTATATGATAGGTGATGAGTGAGAAAAGGGGAAAAGAAAAATGCAAAGAGGAGGGTGGCGGGGCTCTTTGTGGAACCACTAATAAGAAAGCATGAAAGCAACAGGAAATCGAATGTCGTCCACGAGTTGCAGTACCAGCTTCTAGGAGCCCCACCCTTTTACTGCAGATTCTCAGCCCCCTTATCTGCTTTCTCCCTTTTCTTCTGTTTTTTTTTTTTTTGGTTTAAAACCATTTTACCATTTTTTTTTTAATTATACTTTCGTATCAGCAGACCACTAGACCATTTTATCATCTTCACTTGTCCAAAAATGATTGCTCCCCAGTCCCCAGTTCCCCACCATGTCCCGTCAGATGCTCCTATCCTTTTAAAAGCGCCCTCTCCTTCTTCCTTCGTTTTTTGTACACAAGAGGGCTTAAGCTCAAAAATAAACACCTGAGTCAATAAGTCATCATCCAAGCGTCTTTAAATAGAGATGGCACACCCACATGATTGAATCTGGTAGAAGCTTGTCTTTCATAATATGGTAGATTAAAATTGAATTTTTTTTGGGGAAATGTGTCCACATTTTGGTCTTGGTATGTCAAACAAAACAGCCTGCATTCCTGGGCTCCATTATACCGCCTTCTGGGCCTTCTTATGCATTCATTCCGGCTCCTTCCTTCTTGCATTGTTTTTTTTTTTTGGGGCTAAAGTATAGGTTCTTTCTTATTGAAAAAAATCCCATTCGAGACACTGTCGAGCACTAAATGTGAATACCTCTTCCAACGGGGATTTCAATCTTGATTCGTCACTTATGATGGACTAGCCCTTTTTTACTAGACCAAATCACTGTTGATTTCTAATTAAGAGTGGCTGTCTGCGCCTTATGCATGAAAGAACCCAGTATGCCCCCAAGCCCACAAAAAACACAAACTCGACCCAGTACAAGTGGGCTTGAAATGACCAAACAATGAGGAGCTACTGGGCCAACTGCCCAAGTTCCAACGTGAGCTCCCTTGGCAGCGAGATATCTAATGCCTTGGAAGATTTCTTCTCGCAAAGTGGGCATGGCCGTCCATCCAAAAATGGGAAGAAACCTATTATTATTACTTGAGAATCAAATATAAAGTTTCAATTGGTAAGGAACCAACTCATGACTCACAAGATTGTAAATACAAATCTCGTTGCTGATGTAAGGACCTTGTAACAATCTGTATTTTTTATTTATTTATTGCTTGTTCTTCTCTGTTGGTTGTTGATATAACCTTTTTCTTCTTCATCGCTTCTGGTTTGTTCTTTTGGTTCTTCTGGTTACATTTGTTGCCCGCAATTATAAAACCCCGTATACATGTATCCGATGTATTGGAATGGGAGGATGTCAGCCGACCTTGGGAAAAAGAAGAAAATACTGAGGCTTATGTGGGAAATGAGTAAATGTGAAATGGTCTCCTAGATTTTGCAAGTTTAGGTGTTTGTTTGTTTGTTCTGGGAATGGGTGGATATTTTGTAGTTTGTGGGTATGCATATTGCAATATTTTGGGAATGCGTGGCGCTTGCAAAACTAAAATCTAGGTATCAATGTGTTGTATCACATCTAATCTCTCTTTCATGTTTCTGTTATAAAGATAAAAACATCCTCATTTTTGGGAAAATGGGGATAAATCTTCATTTGAAAAGTTAATTGTAGAATAAGACTTGACTTTAGATGATATAAGTTTGAGGGATAAAAACCAAATAATCTGAGTTGAGTTTCCTTGATCTTAAGTTACATATAGTTGATCCTAATTGCATATACGACTCACTGATCCTAATTGCATATCCTTAATCTCAAGTTGTATTTGCCTGATCCTAATTGTATATTGATGATGCCTAGTTGCATATATAATTTAATTACTTATTACTGATACCAATTACATATCATTGATTTCCAGTTACATATATGTGCTTGATCCTAATTTCATATTACATATACCTAGTTGCATATGGTACCTAATCACGTATCACTTATCCTAATTGCATATTCTTGATCTCGAGTTGTATATGTTTGATTTTAATTGCATATTGAAGATGCCTAGTTGATACAAGATCTAATTACATATCCTTGATCTCCAGTTACATATATTTGATTCTAATTGTAAATTGCATATGCTTAGTTGCATATATGATCTAATTGTATATTGTTGATCCTAATTACATATTTTTTATTTCTAGTTGCATATGTTT